AAAAAAAAAAAAAAAAAAGAAAAAAGTACAACAGATGATGTTATATTTTATTGATCCGGAATATAAACAGGATCAACAACAAGTTTGTATACCGCGAACACATCCTCAATTGTCAAATTTTTCTTTTTTTTTCTTGTAATGTTTTGTGTTCTTTTTCTGACTTTATCTATTCAAACCCTTTTTTTCTGGAACGTGTTATGTTAAGAGGTTAAATAGGATTGGCTGTTAATAAACTGAACGCATTGCAGTCCTATTAACTAGAAATACTAATACTTACTTGTTTCGCATTGTGTTCCATTAAAGCCTGGTGCGCAGCTGCAGTTGAATCCGTTCACTCGGTCTGCGCAGGTCCCGTTGTTCTTACAGGGATGACTTGCGCAGTCATCGACATCTGTTTTAGAAGAGAATATTGAAAGAGAAAAAAATACAACAGATGATGTTATATTTGATGGAGCCCGCAATATAAACAGGGACAACAACAAGTTTGTATACCGCAAAGTAATGCTCAATTGCTAAATTTTTCGTTTTTTCTTTTAACGTTTTGTGTTTTTTTTCTGACTATATCTATTCATATCCTTTTTTTCTGGAACGTGTTATGTTAAGTGATCAAATAGGATTGGCTGTTAATAAATTGAACGCATTGCAGTGCCATTAACTCGGAATACTAATACTTACTTGTTTCGCATTGTGTTCCATCAAATCCTGGTGCGCAGCTGCAGTTGAATCCGTTCACTCGGTCTGTGCAGATCCCGTTGTTCTTACAGGGATGACTTGCACAGTCATCGATATCTGTTTTAGAAGGGAAGATTGAAAGAAAAAAAAAAAAAAAATACAACAGATGATGTTATATTTGATGGAGCCAGCAATATAAACAGGAACAACAACAAGTTTGTATACCGCAAAGTAATTCTTAATTGCTAAATTTTGATGATGTTATATTTGACGGAGCCCGAGCAAAATTAACAACACAACTCTATTTGTACCCCGCCGCGATAGCACTTTCAATTTACAGTAATGTTTAAAATTTAAATTGGAACTACGTCACAGTTTACGCATATTGAAACGTTCAGCCTAATTTATTCCAGATCGTCGTTTGTACTCGGTGTTAATTTTTTGCATCCTTAACCATCCTTCTTCCTTTACAGTTTATTATTATCTCTTTATTTTCAGGTCTCCCTCAATTTCAAAGTGACTGAGCTCTACTGTCGACTATCCGCCTGAAATAACCACAAGAATTTGGACTCAGGACAGTCATTCTCACTGAACATAATGTAGGCAAACCGTGTCACTACCATTGTGCTTGAAAGTACTTGAAAACTTTAGAGTTTATGTTTGCTATTGAGAAACGATTTCAGATGTCCGCCATTATCATAATCCAGTCAGGGATAAGCAACGCATCTGCTCCTTTAAATGTTTGTTCCACAGTCGATTGCTTGCTGACTGGGAAACTTATTCCCACCCGCCGTCTTAAATGGCAATCTTTTTACCTCAAGACCTATGTAATTGCTATTGCTGTTGATGTTACCATTTTTATGGAACTTTTTTCCTCTTTTAAGCCTAGGGTATAGTTATTTAATCCCAGATAGCTTGAGAGGCTCAAAATGTAAACTATGAAGGGTTAAAAGAAAGAAAGAAACTAAGTTGTGGTGTAGTCAAGCAACATTTTGGACATTAAAATTATATTGACGAGATCATTGCTCAAGTGTTATCGTCTTCTTACCTGTTTGACAAGTACTTCCTGTGAATCCTTTCACACAAAGGCACAGATAGCTGTTCTTTTCATAAATTGACAAGCAAGATCCACCATTCTGGCATGGTCCACTCATACATGGAGACTAAGAAATAAACTGATATTTAGTAATTGAAGAAAAGCTACGCAAAGCTAAGGTAAGCTAAGCTAATCTAAGCCAAGCTAAACTAAGCTAAGCTAAGCTAAGCTAAGCTAAGCTAAGTTACGCTAAGCTAAGTTAACCTAAGCTAAGCTAAGCTAAGCTAAGCTAAGTCAAGTCAAGCCAAGCCAAGCCAAGCCAAGCCAAGCCAAGCCAAGCCAAGCCAAGCCAAGCCAAGCCAAGCCAAGCCAAGCCAAGCCAAGCCAAGCCAAGCCAAGCCAAGCCAAGCCAAGCCAAGCTAAGCCAAGCCAAGCTAAGCCAAGCTAAGCTAAGCTAAGTTAAGCTAAGCTAAGTTTAAGCTAAGAAATAAACTGGAATTTAGTAACTGAAGGCAAGCTAAGCTCAAAGCTAAGGCAAGCCCAATAGACACCATCATGATAAATGACGACTCTGCGTTTTATTTCGCTATCGACAAAGAAGTTCCAAAGGCAGGAAAAAAACAAACAAACAAACAAAATTGACTAAACGCTTTCTCCATGGTGAAAAACATTTCGGCAAAAACATATTCCAGCTTCATTCAGACAAGAAATTATTTAACTAATTGAATTGTACACTTAAAAGCATTTCTTACAGAATCTTGAGGACAACACTATTCCACCCAACAAAATTGTGCTAACAACTGGACAAAAGTATATATGTATAAACTCGTTTAGTAACTATTCGGCTATTTCCGAGAAAACTGACGACAACACATTTCGGCCGTTTTATCAGGATCTAGAGGACAGGAACCTTCTGGTCGCGTGATGATGCCGTGTTCTCCTAAAATGAGAGTGGATTAAATTACGACGATATCGAAAGTTCAGCCGAGTACAAGTACAGGAACGTTCCCTTTTTGTGCCAGTGCCGAGTAGGATCATTAAATGTTTTCTCGAATTTGAATAAGGAAAGTGGGGAGACTGACCAATAAAAGTTCCAAAGAAAACGAATTATCAGTGGCAGTGGTGAAAGCCGGATTAAACAAGTTTTGCATTAACATCTTTTTGGAGTACAAAAAGTGTTGTAACTTTGGGTTGCTTTTTCTAT